CATCTTGTAAACGCATACAATGCTCGGGACACAAATTTGCGCTGCTGCATCGCGTTCCATCAAATCAGTAAGCTTTTCTCTGGTTTTAAGTTCACATAAAGCATGCTCATATTTAATGCTCCGAAATGGTTTAGAAAGGGTATGAGAAGCTCGAATCTGGAAATCGGTGTACAAACTCCTTTGAGAGTCTCGCATCTCTTTTTTATCAGTTTGATCTCTTACAAAGTCAGTAAAGAACACTGAGACACAGGCGCATCTCTCGACCGAGTGAACGTTAATGGTAATATACTTCTGAAAATTTTTTAAAACGTGCTTGTCAGTCCTCCTTGAATAAATTAAGTGATTTAATATGATGCCTTAAAAGTAAACAGAATATCATTTTATACAGAACTTTTATTCATATGCAAAATAAGGAGCCTAGCCAAACATAGGAGGTGGTGGAGGAGGTGGGGGAGGAGGAGGTGGAGGCATCCCAAATCCAGGCCCGCCAAATCCCATAGGTCCTCCAAATCCCATTCCAAATTGAGGTCGTGCCTCCACAAGAGATGTTGGTAGAAGCACGGCTAGAAGGATAAATGCGACTATCAACATCATCCTAAAAAGAAGCTCTGTCAATGATTCTTTCAGACTCAAAAGTAGCATCAATGATGAGAATTTCAAAAAAAAATTTCATATGCCTTATTTTTTTTATCAGTACCTCCTCTAACTGCACTTCTAAGACATATTACTTTTGTGAGATATATATTTCACGCAAATCAAACTTTAACACACATAAGAAATTTAAAGATCTCATGAAACACTTTAATGAAAATTAACAAGGAAAAAAGCTATTACAAAAATTTACCTTAAAACAGCTGCCTCCATCATGAAGTATGCTTTAGAAAGATTTACGCTTAGGCGGTAGTAAAATTTATTTTTGATGCTTCAGACAACTTTGTCAGGCGCTTCCTTCAAAACAATACAGTACAGGGCATTTGTAATACAAACCGAAAATAACCGTATGCCCAAAAGACAGCGATCATCAACAGGGCCATATACCATGTATTACAACGGAGGTTACATTTACCTACATTATTGCTGACGTAAAGTGCTGCTTCAAAAATATGTCTAAGTTATTAACTTAAGATTATATTGGATTCTGCCATAAATTAATCATTTTCACTGAGGAAACTTGAGCACTAGTTTGAGAAAAACAAATCCTGAAACGTAATGAAAGCTAATAAAAGAAGCAATGCCGCATGTTCTAAGGAAATTGTAACTGTTTATCGCTTGTTCCTCCCGCATAAGTTTTTTGCGTGATATCACCACATTAGCTTGTTGTAAATATCTTCAGATAAGAAGAACAGGCATCATCCTTAAGTTTATTAACTTCAATTATCTCTCTCCTTCACTTACAAATGCAAACCTTATACAATAACCTTCATAGGCAGATAATAGTGAGAAGTAGTAATAAAGTTGATTAGGAAGTACGAAGATGGAAACCTTGGGTGTGATGATTTGAATTGTTTTTACTAGGCAGAACACATGGAAGTGGGGAGCCAGACTCCTGGAACCATATGCATCTTTTATGTTTTTATAAAGCTGCATAAAGACGACTTCAGAACAATCTTTCAGCAGAACTAGGTAGGTAGTGGATGAAATGCGGGAACTTTGCAGAAGTTCTGTTTGTCTACTCAAGCCTCCAAGTATCGCGCTGAAGTCCATCGGGCAACGGCATATTGGGCTGAGCACCGTAATGAAGAGCTCAAGCTTAGAATCGTGGATAGTTGTGCTACGGTCAACCTTATGTACAGTATGCTAGATCACTTCTGCAATGGAATAGTGCGAGCTCGGATGAAAGCCGCAGTAATGCCAAGAAAATTAAAAAGGCGATTGCAGTGATATCGGCATGGGAGCAGAAGCGAAGAAATCCACTCCACAGGAACGTGGCTCTAGAAAAAAATCTCGAGGAAAATCCAGAACGATAGCGAACAAAATGGGAGCTGTTGATATCTTAGGATAGACGACATTCTTGCTTAAAACTGCACGTTCAGATATGGTTAACATTTGTATCGAACCCTGCACGAAACCCCTTTATTACATTACGAGAA